GTAATGAGAAGGGGTGTGGTCTAATGACATCAACACCCTATATCAGGTGTGCATAATTATTAGGCAACTTCCTTTCCTTTGGCAAAATGGGTCAAAAGAAGGACTTGACAGGCTCAGAAAAGTCAAAAATAGTGAGATATCTTGCAGAGGGATGCAGCACTCTTAAAATTGCAAAGCTTCTGAAGCGTGATCATCGAACAATCAAGCGTTTCATTCAAAATAGTCAACAGGGTCGCAAGAAGCGTGTGGAAAAACCAAGGCGCAAAATAACTGCCCATGAACTGAGAAAAGTCAAGCGTGCAGCTGCCACGATGCCACTTGCCACCAGTTTGGCCATATTTCAGAGCTGCAACATCACTGGAGTGCCCAAAAGCACAAGGTGTGCAATACTCAGAGACATGGCCAAGGTAAGAAAGGCTGAAAGACGACCACCACTGAACAAGACACACAAGCTGAAACGTCAAGACTGGGCCAAGAAATATCTCAAGACTGATTTTTCTAAGGTTTTATGGACTGATGAAATGAGAGTGAGTCTTGATGGGCCAGATGGATGGGCCCGTGGCTGGATTGGTAAAGGGCAGAGAGCTCCAGTCCGACTCAGACGCCAGCAAGGTGGAGGTGGAGTACTGGTTTGGGCTGGTATCATCAAAGATGAGCTTGTGGGGCCTTTTCGGGTTGAGGATGGAGTCAAGCTCAACTCCCAGTCCTACTGCCAGTTCCTGGAAGACACCTTCTTCAAGCAGTGGTACAGGAAGAAGTCTGCATCCTTCAAGAAAAACATGATTTTCATGCAGGACAATGCTCCATCACACGCGTCCAAGTACTCCACAGCGTGGCTGGCAAGAAAGGGTATAAAAGAAGAAAATCTAATGACATGGCCTCCTTGTTCACCTGATCTGAACCCCATTGAGAACCTGTGGTCCATCATCAAATGTGAGATTTACAAGGAGGGAAAACAGTACACCTCTCTGAACAGTGTCTGGGAGGCTGTGGTTGCTGCTGCACACAATGTTGATGGTGAACAGATCAAAACACTGACAGAATCCATGGATGGCAGGCTTTTGAGTGTCCTTGCAAAGAAAGGTGGCTATATTGGTCACTGATTTGTTTTTGTTTTGTTTTTGAATGTCAGAAATGTATATTTGTGAATGTTGAGATGTTATATTGGTTTCACTGGTAATAATAAATAATTGAAATGGGTATATATTTGTTTTTTGTTAAGTTGCCTAATAATTATGCACAGTAATAGTCACCTGCACACACAGATATCCCCCTAACATAGCTATAACTAAAAACAAACTAAAAACTACTTCCAAAAATATTCAGCTTTGATATTAATGAGTTTTTTGGGTTCATTGAGAACATGGTTGTTGTTCAATAAAAGTTCCTAACAAATACCTGCAGCTGTTGACTGTCTGTCTGTTTATCTATCTATCTATCTATCTATCCATCTGAAATGGTGCAACATGTGGCATTATATATCATGTCTAGAACTTTTAATCTACAAAATACAACAGCCTATAAAAACATCTAATGTAACCTACATCTTTATACTGGGTATGTTTCCCCTTTCAGATCATGAACGCATAAATATTATGCAATTTTTTTTACAAAACAAAACCAAACTCGTAATAAAAGTACTTGAAATTAGCTGTATGAGAGAGGTACCCTAATGAATCATTTAGTTTCTGCAACTAATTACCTGGATAAGATGATAAAGATAGTTACATAGTTACATAGTTACATAGCTGAAAAGAGACTTGCGTCCATCAAGTTCAGCCTTCCTCACATTTGTTTTTTGCTGTTGATCCAAAAGAAGGCAAAAAAACCCAGTTTGAAGCACAATTTTGCAACAAGCTAGGAAAAAAATTCCTTCTTGACCCCAGAATGGCAGTCAGATGTATCCTTGGATCAAGCAGTTATTACCCTACATTGAAAGATTATATCCTTGAATATTCTGTTCTTGCAAGTATGCATCTAGTAGCTGTTTGAACATCTGTATGGACTCTGATAAAACCACTTCTTCAGGCAGAGAATTCCACATCCTGATTGTTCTTACAGTAAAGAAGCAGGTATCTTGTACCGAACAGTTTATATCAGGGGGTGACCTACTGCATTTTCACTCTTTCCAATAGAATATTGGACGTTTTTGTTGTAGGGGTTGGCACTAGTTAATAATAACAGAAAGATGAAGGAGCTCAGATCCCAAACATATGTTTATTTGCCACTCTTGTAAACCTTTGGATTAACACCTGCCTTATTTTAACAAGAGTAACACAATCTAACAGGCTAACCTTTGCTGTTTTGCCTCAGAGCAGATATGGTGTGATTGTCGATGACACAAAGTGAAAACCTGTGTAAAGCAAGGTAGCAATTGTATGTTAGCAATATTGCATAAGACTTTGTATAGCATTATAGAATGTATATATCAAATAAATCATTCTGGAGTATATTTGATAAAAAGATGAAATTAATCTTTGGAATCAAGAGTACCCAGAGAGAAAGGAGTAAAAACAAAATCTGAATAAAATATAAATAAAATACATGGCATTGCTGAATAATAATCTAGGGATATGCATATATAAGCCTACATAACTATTTGCACAAGCAAAACTTAAAGCTCTGATGAAAGAGTAGAGAGTTTCTATATACTGGACAATACTAACGCAATGTGAAATGTGTAAAAAAGTAAGGGAATTAGTGTGAATCTAGAAACAAGAAATGCATCCTTATTTACACAAGTGGCAACTTTCTGTGTGACTCTAAGAATAGTCCAATATACTAATATACTCCTGGTCCCATCAATGATCTCAAGATTACTTCAGTTCTAAACTTTACTGAATGTCAACATAACTCTATCTCATAAAGGGTGCAGTATTAACACCCATCAGAATTTACATACTTTGAAATATTTCCTCAGAAGGGAGAACAGATTTGCACAACTATAAGATGGGAATAATTACAGGGAATAGGACAAACAGAGGACACCCAGAGAGCTGAAAGAGGATTTTAAAAAACACCTAAAACATTTTCAAATTGCCGAAAGTCTATGCCCTAAAGTTTTCTTCTTTCAATTCAGGAGTCATTATGCTGTGAAAATTTGACAAATGCAAACATGATTTATTGCATTATGGGGATGAACAGTCATGCAATTATAAGTTCTCAACAAAAAGACAATCATGGAATGATTTCAGACGTTTTAGAATATCATTAACCATCATTGTAATTCTGGACCATGACTCATTCTATGCACGCTGTGCACACACTTTAATCCACTGTGCAGAGATCAGAGCTTGAGGGAATTTATACATTAGATTCTTTGCCTCTGTTTACTCAACATAGAAAACTGATATTACGGACTGCCAAGTGACAAACACAGTAAAAAACAAATATAAAAAGAACTTCTGGAAAGGTTAGCTATTTCCATTAAAATATTATTTTAAACAGTGGTCTACACCATAGCAATAAACAAAACAATGCCTGACTTTTTAATTCCTCCTTGGCAAATTTCTACAACTTGGAGTGACAGCTGTATAGTTGCTATTTTTTCCCATTCTAAGTGTATTTTATTAATACATTTTTCAACAACAATACAGAAAACACAATAACTATAACAAAAACAGCATCCAATAATAGCATTGTTTCTATTTTGCAATCAAATTCTTTAATAGCATTGTTTCTGTTTTGCAATTAAATTTTTTTAACTTTGACTTGTAAAACACATTATAACAATGTACTGCTATATTGCATAAAATTTGGGACATCTTATAAATGGTTAAAGGCTAGGGTTGAGCGGATACCTGAATGTTCGGGTCCGGCGGGTTCGGCCGAACTTTGAAAAAAGTCCGGGTTCGGGCTCGAACTTGACCCTGAACCCCATTGAAGTCAATGGGGACCCGAACTTTTGGGCACAAAAATGCCTCTAAAAAACTCCTGGAAACGACTAGAGAGCTGCAAAAGGCAGTAAAATGGGGGTAAGAGTAGGACAAGTGCCCTGCAAACAAATGTGGATAGGGAAATCACTTAAAATAACATAAAAAATACAGCTGAGCCATAAAATAGCACTAGATGGAATCTTTGATTTTAGCTTTGGAAGAACATAAATCAAAATCTAAAGCATGGCTGTCAGGAAGATCACCAGAATTATCCATTTGAGAGAGGGTTGGAGTGCAGGGTATCCTCTTTCATTGCTCAAACTGAGCTCAACTCCTGATGCATGAAGAAAAGGCTTTCACAAGCCTCTTCTATTGTGTACATAGTTTATACTAAGTGACCCATAGGTTGAGGAGGCAGTGTAGGTGGAAGCGGCGTTGGAGGAGGAGGAGGTAGCCAACACTGTTTTTTATATATATATATATATATATATATATATATATACATATATATATATATATATATATTTTTTTTTTTTTTTAAATTGGAGTAGCCCCCAAAATATTGGGACATATGCGGTGCATTTCTTGCAGTCCAGATGCATGGAGAAATGCTCAACTCCTGATGCATGGAGAAAAGGCCTTCACAAGCCTCTGCTAATGTGTACCTAGTTTATACTAAGTGACCCATAGTTTGAGGCGGCGGTGACCGTGGCGGTGTAGGTGGAAGCAGCGGTGGAGGAGGAGGATGAGGTAGCCAACACTGTTTTTTATGTTTTTTTTTTTTTTATTTTGATAGCCGACAAAATATTGGGATATACAAAAAAGGTAACATTTGTGGCCTGCGGTGCATTTCTTGCAGTCCAGATGCATGGAGAAATGCTCAACTCCTGATGCATGGAGAAAAGGCCTTCACAAGCCTCTGCTAATGTGTACATAGTTTATACTAAGTGACCCATAGGTTGAGGAGGCGGTGACCGTGGTGGTATAGGTGGTAGCCAACACTGTTTTTTATGGGGGGTTTTTTGTTTGTTTTTAATTGTGGTAGCCCACAAAATATTGGGACATACAAAAAAGTAACATTTGCAGCCTGCGGTGCATTTCTTGCAGTCCTGATGCAACTGCTGATGCATGGAGAAACGGCCTTACAAGCCTCTGCTAATGTGTACATAGTTTATACTAAGTGACCCATGGGTTGAGCAGTGGAGGAGGAGGATGAGGTAGCCAACACTGTTATATATATATATTTTTTTTTTTTTTTAATTGGGTTAGCACCCAAAATATTGGGAGATATAAAAAAAGACAACGCTGTTCCGCAGAGAAGCTGTTGAAATTATAGTTGCGCAGGTACTTTGTTGACTCCAGAGAACTTCGGGCCAATCGCACATCCCCGTGACAGCGACTTTGGATGCATTCGGATGTCATCCACATCAACTTTCGATGCCAGTTTCTGCGCCTACCATGGTGACCGCGGGTAACAGGGAATCAGGGTTCCATTCCGTACAGGGACCCCGAGAATCGGCTACCACATGCAAGAAAGGCAGCAGACGCGCAAATGACCCACTCCTGACATGGGAAGGTAGTGACAACAAATAACAATACAGGATTCTTTAGAGGCCCTGTAATTGTAATGAGTCCACTTGCAATCCTTTAACTCTGATCAATTGGAGGGCAAGTCTGGTGCAGAGCGACTGACCCGTGTGTGTTGCAGCTGAAACTCCACTATCGCTTGCTGCTGCTCGCACAGTCTCTCCAGCATGTGCAAGGTGGAGTTCCACCTTGTGGGCATGTCGCATATGAGGCGATGAGCAGAAAGGCCAAAGTTATGCTGCAGCGCAGATAGGTGAGCAGCAGCAGGGTGAGAACGCCGAAAGCACGCACAGCCACTACAGTGAATGTCACATCCTGTTCCAAGTTGCGGGTCAGTCTGGTGATGGCTTCTGGTATCCAGTACTCTTTTTACTGAAGCTGCATCAGGGTCCTGGTATGTGGCCGCACAAATGCTGGTGCTCAACACCAGGGGGCATGCGGTTACCCTGCACCAGACCCTGCTAATCCATTCCACACTGTGACTGCTAACTTCAACATCAGGCATACTGGGTCCCGGTCGTCCGACCGCCGCCCAGGTAGTGTCTAAGTCCTGGTTACCAGACTGCAAAACTGCGAATGGCTCAATAAATCTGTTATGGTTCCTTTTATCACTCCATCTGTTACTTGGATAACTGTGAGAAATCTAAAGATAATACATGCCGATGAGCGCTAGGGGACGGCCGCTCCGCTTTTGCACCCTGCTCCCTCTTATGCTGTGCTGGTGCCTCTGTGCGACCAGCGCCTCTTCCTCCAAACTGCACATGTCACTCGCATAACCTTGATTCCTTGTGGGGTCTAGGACCTCATCATCCTCCACATCATCTTCCACCCACTCCTCAACCCTGCCCTCATTGCCAGTCTGCACACTGCAGAAAGCCACAGCAGTTGGCACCTGTGTTTTTCTAGCATGTAAAGTCTGCAAATGACATATAGAAATTGTTTTAGAATTGTATCTAGGCAACAGTTTTCCCCATAAACTGACCTCTCAGTTTGACTTGTGAGGGTATTGCCCCAGAATTACAAAATTGCTTAAGTACCTCTTAGCTATTGATAACTGGTTTAAATATAGCAGCTTGTTATCTGGTAGTTTCTAGTGTAGAAAATATCAATGTGTTTTCTATCACTTAGATCTGTGTAACAAGTGTTGTAGGTGTGAAACAATATTACAAGTGACTGATGTAGTAAATTCAAATCAAAGTTACGCTTTGATTTGACTCTCAGATATGAAGTGAACACCCCAAATATACTATTTAGCACCAAAAAATTTTTTGTTTTTAAATTACTTACTTTTAATTACTTTTTAAAACTCCAATGTAAGCAGCAGATTAGCAGCAAAACAATTAGAATCTTTGCAACTGCGCAGTAAGCACACTATTTGACGCTTCTATTTGGCTCTCAGATATGAAGTGCAACGCAGGCCGCAAATGTACTATTTAGCAGATTAGAAGCAAAACAATTAGAATTCTTCCCACTGCACTGTAAGTGCACTATTAGACGTTTATATTTGACTCTCAGATATGAAGAGCACGCCCAAAATGTACTATTTAGCAGATTAGCACCCAGAAAATAAGAATTTTTACAACTGCGCAGTTAGCGCACTATTTGATGCTTCTATTTGACTCTCAGATATGAAGAGCACGCCCAAAATGTACTATTTAGCAGTTTAGCAGCAAAACAATTAGAATGTTTACAATTGCTCCGTAACCGCCCTATTTAACGCTTCTATTTGACTCTCAGATATGAAGAGCTGTCCCAAAATGTACTATTTAGCACATTAGCACCCAGAAAATAAGAATTTTTAAAACTGCGCAGTAAGCGCACTATTTGACGCTTCTATTTGACTGTCAGATATGAAGAGCATGCCCAAAATGTACTATTTAGCAGTTTAGCAGCAAAACAATTAGAATGTTTACAATTGCGCTGTAACCCCAGTATTTGACGCTTCTATTTGACTCTCAGATATGAAGTGCACCCCACTAAAATACTATTTAGCAGTTTGGCACCCAAAGAATTTTAAGTTTTAATACTGCAATGTGACAGCACTATTAGACACTTCTATTTGACTCTCATATATGAAGTGCACGCCCCGAAATTTACTATTTAGCAGATTAGCAGCAAAACAATTAGAATGTTTACCACTGCACTGTAACCACACTATTAGACGCTTCTATTTGACTCTCAGATATGAAGTGCACCCTACTAAAATACTATTTAGCAGTTTAGCAATCAAAAAAATTTAAGTTTTAAAACTGCAATGTGACAGCAGTATTTGACGCTTCTATTTGACTCTCAGATATGAAGTGCACCCCAATAATGTTCTTTTTGGCACCCCAAAAATTTTACGTTTTAAAACTGCAATGTGACAGCAGTATTTGGATTCTATTTGACTCTCAGATATGAAGTGCACCCCACTAATGACCAAAAAATTTTTACTTTTTAAAACAGTATATTTTAAGCTTCTATTTGACTCTCAGATATGAAGTGCACCCCACTAATGTACTAGTTTACAGAATTCTTCCCTAAGCTGTCCCTCACAGCGGCAGCATCCTCTCCCTACACTAATAAGACCTCATGTGCGTGCGGCGCTACGCGACTCCAGCTTATATATAGAGGCTGGGTCACATGCTGCACTGGCCAATCACAGCCATGCCATTAGTAGGCATGGCTCTGATGGCTTCTAAGGGCACACGAGTCAAATGCGTATTGATTGGCTGCCCTACAGCCTTTGAAAACGCTCCATTAAATCGCCGAACACTGAACTCCAACCCGAACATACAGTGATATGTCCATGTTCGGGTCCGGGGTCCAAAAAACGTAATGTTCGGTACGAACCCGAACTTTACAGTTCGGGTTTGCTCAACTCTATTAAAGGCATATCTTCAACCCAGAACTTTCAAATAGAGGGCTATGTCTGCACTATGATATATTTATATTTTTTATCTTTGAGGGTTGTTGCATTATGACTGAAGGATGGAAAGTATTAACTTTTAATACATGTCTGTGTTAAACACCATTGGTTGACATTTTAAGGGTTTACTGTATTGTTCGCATTAATTACTTTCTGCATGAGTTTGGACCATTCACATTAGTGCACCTTAATATTTTATACACTTTTTTGCACATGTTGTGATATCACTCTCATAGGAAGTCCCTATATATCAATAATGTTATTGAATTGCCTTTAGAATCAAAATCAATCTCCAATTCAAGTTGAGACTGATAGGAAATATACAAGAGAAGGACCTGGTTGAGGATAGATGTACAATGGTGGGATAGAGCTGAAGAGATATTTACTGGGATGATATGAATAGACAGGAGTAGGACTTTTGCTTTAGTCCCTTGTATCACAATGTCTTGGGTTGGCCCTGATATAGAAACATAGAATGTGATGGCAGATATAACCATTCAGCCCATCTAGTCTGCCCACTTTTCTAAATACTCTAATTAGTCACTGCCCTTATCTTATAGCTAGGCTAGCCTTATGCCTATCCTACGCATGCTTAAACTCCTTCACTGTGTTAAGCTATACCACTTCAGCTGGAAGGCTATTCCATGCATCCACTACCCTCTCAGTAAAGTAATACTTCCTTTTATTATTTTTAAACTTTTGCCCCTCTAATTTAAGACTATGTTCTCTTGTTGTGGTAGCTTTTCTTCTTTTGAATATGCTCTCCTCCTTTACTGTGTGAATTCCCTTTATGTATTTAAATGTTTCTGTCATATGTCTCCTGTCTCGTCTTTCCTCCAAGCTATACATGTTAAGTTCCTTTAACCTTTCCTGGTAAATTTTATCCTGCCATCCATGAACCAGTTTAGTAGCCCTTTTCTGAACTCTTTCCAAAGTATCAATATCCTTCTGAAGATACGGTCTCCAGTACTGAGTACAACACTCCAAGTAAGATCTCACCAGTGTTCTGAACAATGGCATGAACACTTCCCTCTTTCTACTGCTAATACCTCTCCCTACACAACCAAGCATTCTGCTAGCATTTCTTGCTGCTCTGTTACACTGTCTGCCTACCCTTAAGTCATCTGAAATAATAACTCCTAAATCCCTTTCTTCAGATGTTGAGGTTAGGACACATGTGTCATTAGAAGATAACGACTATTATGATAGTCTCTCATTTGGATTTAGAGCTATCATCTGGAACCATGAACTGATTGAGTACCCACCTCATTTCACATGACATGTGGGAAGTAGCCAGCACCAACTTTCTTATTAATCATCACAGTGTCATCTATAGTGTGATGGAATGGAAGGGGATATATCTCCAGCTGTTCATTGGTTAAGAGTATACAGATTGGACTTTCTGTTTTATTTTGACTATTTGCCTACTGCCTTTTTGTGCAGTCGGTGAATAATAACTAATCTGAGAATTGAATACGTTTAGTAGTAGATAGATTTGAATTTTTACATGTGATAAATCTTTAGACCTGCTTTTTGCTAGTAAAGCTTATTGTGTGCATATTGGATATAATGAACTTAAATAGTGGGATTTTGATCTGCCACATTACATTTCCACCACTCTATATTCGTTATTGTTTCCTTTTTTATCAGTTTCATCATCATAATCATCATCATCATGTTGGCACTCTTTCCTACACTGTTGTCATTTGTACCACACAAGTTTTACTAGGCTAAAGGTATTCAATATAATAAATGGATTTTTTTTTAAACTGATTACAATCTTTCAAGGAAGCTTGGACAGATATTCAAAGTGCTCCTCATATAGCTCTTGTGAAAGTTGCGTCACAGACAATCTTCACTCTGATATACAAAGCAAGGATATTTCAGTAATTGCAGTTATCACCGTCATGAATTGTTAAGGTAATTATGAACTACCTGTTGGAGCCGTTAAAATATATGCTAGCAGTGTTTTTTCAATGAACTGATAAGGTAAGCATCTTGATCTCTATACACTAAACATTAGAAAATTGGCACCACTGTGCCTAGTTCATACACGTATTCTCTGTTACTCACATCTCATGCACAATTTTCTAACTGGCAGTTTTGCAATGTTACATAAATACAGTTTACTTTTCTCAAAGGATAGATAAATTCACATATTTTGAGAACAACATTAAATTGCAGTCTGAATGTGTTCCAAACAATTGACTCAACTACTTTTTTTGA